TACTTCGAATTTAGGTTCCAGAAATCTTTTCCGTCACAAAACAGGTAGGTTACACAGTTTTATAATTAAAGAGTAGAAAATCAGTATTAGTTGAGTTTCCAAACCCCCCCCCCCCCCGAAAAAAAAACAATAATTTTTAAAAGGTTGAAAATGTATTAGCCTGATCGTAGAAATGTTAGGATTCCATCAAGGCTACAACAGCAATTGAAACGAAACTATGGTATGCAATATTACTTTTAATAAAACGAAACGTAACTAGCTTTTTACTTTAATCACTATTTCACCTACAACAGCAGTGTTTCCTTATAATACATGTAAATAATCAATTTTCATAGTTTTTACAAGCTAAACTTTGTCTGCTAACATCGTTAGTCAATATTTCCAGTGTAAAAGCCCTCCAACCCTGTTATTTAGAGTTACGGCAACTTAAATAGAATAACTAAGTTAACTCGAATGTGTGCGACGCTTCGAGTTTTGATACTGGTTAAAAGCTGTCAACGTTATTATTCTAGAATTTGGCGTATTCTTTTACATTAGTGATTGTAAGTGTGTGGAAAATTTTAGAGGTTATATACATAGTTGTGAAAAAAGGTTTGAATTATGTGGGTAATATTAAAACCTTAATTTTTAACCAGAAAAATCCACGTAAAAATTAATTATTGAAAAGTGACGAAACGTTAATGTATTAACTATTGTGTGTTCTATCAATTCAAAGACAATTATATATTTAAATATAAACATTGGGCTTAATTCTACAATTTTCTTATGTTTTCTAGAAGCCATTTCATCGCCTAATTTTTTTTCAATTATTTTCCAGACTCAAATATATGTCTCATTAACTACTTTGTAAGAATCGTACATACTTAATTTTGATTGGCCATTTCAAACTGCTCGCATATGACCGAATTTGTTAAGCTGTAAAAATATCAAGATTACAGTTATGTCGATTTACCAAAAACTTTGTGGACGGTTTCACAGTAATACACACAGTTTTATGAAATACTCAGTTTGTTTATATATTGTAATGTTTTGCATATACACCCAGTTAAATATATATAAAGGCTGTGGTTAAGCCATAAACAAATTCAACGCCGGAGCCTAATTGCTTTCGACCTCGGCCTGTTTTTCTGGCTGTGGGGAAAACTGGTGAAGAAACTGTGGTAATTAATTACAATAACGAAATGTCCACGCTAATAGTCGATTAGACTTTCTAGAAACTCTGGATTACGTTTTGAGCTTACATAGTTATGTGTAAGTTAACGTGAGGCTTATTGGCTTTTACACTGTCTTACATACTGGCTTATGAACTTTAACATCATATCAATATTACAAAGATGAAATGTTGTGTATGTTTGTTTGTTTGGGGCTTAAACACGCATTACTACTGGACGGATTTTGCTGAAATTTGGCATGATGCTAGGCTCCTAGCTCATATTCTACATTAACATACAAATGCCTATCTCATAAATCCTTTTGGTGTCCTCAACAGTGACTTTAGAGTATCCCATGTTTACCTTACAGGTGTTCATATTTTAAAGACATCGAAGAATGTTGGCAGCTGTTTCAACTAAAATAATTTGGATTCTATGCTGTTCAATAGTCTTTTATTCCAAACAAATAAACACTAATTCCCCCAATTTTCGCCAACTACTCACTGAGGGCTGTCCTACAAACGGTGCACATTGGCCTAGTTCAGCTCTATTGGCTGCACACTAAGTCCTGGTTTCATCCGCTTTAAGCTAAGGCTTTACTAAGATTATATAACGCCTAGACAATAGACATTGCTAGAATCTGTTGCCAACACTATTGTAACGTAGCTTATTAAACTGTCCATAATCTATATAAATAAGCAAGCCTTTGTTTACTTTTTGTTTCTTGAAAAACTTTTTTGCTCAGTTAGTTTGCAAAACAACAAATAACAACGACAGAAAATCAAAACAAATGACAGGAATTCCAAACACATGTTTTATTTACAGCGTGGGATGAAAAATCGAGAAGTCTGTACATTAAATATTACACATTAAAGTTTTCGACCACTGGACGACCTCTAGTATTTTTTTAAATCGACATAACTATAATCTTGCCATTTTTACAGCTGTTAAAACAATTTCGCTCCTATATTTTCTAAATTCGCATTGTAATTATTTAAAAATGGCAGATATTGAAAATCCCGGACCAAACCAGATTTTTTTAAACAGCTGTAACATTAAACAGTGCAGTTTTTCAAAATACTTTGACACAGAACAATTTACGATGTCAATTACGAATTTTCCAGTTTCACCGCGAAACTATTGAAACGCAAACACAAACACAAAGGGGTTTATCGAATAAACGCGGGGATCTATCCATTAAACATCAACACCATAAATAAACAGAGCGCGCTTCAATCGCGAATCGTCGCTCTTAACTCACTTTCCCCATAAAACACTAACGACCACTTCACTTTCACATTGGTTGTAAATTCGCTGTTCCAATCTAAAGACGATTTATTAAAATTATTCATTTATTATTTATAATATCCTACTTTTACATCATAGGGCACAAGGAACTAGTAAAGGTACTTTTTACACATTACTTCAGGCTAACCATAGATGGTCGTAGCATTATCTTATCACTATGGCCAAATCCATCTGTGATTGGCGGGATTTGAACCCAGGACCTCTGGACCGAAGTCCCGAGCTCCAACACTAGACCAGCTCGTTCCCCATTATTAAACACTTTTGTATGATAATGTGTTAAAAACCTAAAATATTGTTTACATTGTAGCATTTCTGAAATTACAACATACTCGTAATTTTAAAGATTTATGGAACCTGAAAATTATAACCAACAGCAAATGCTACATAATCATGTAAACCACAATTAGAAGTACACTTTATACAACTTATTCTACGTTTCTTCATCCAAACAGAAAGTTATTCCATATATCAAACACATTCTAATCCTAAAATAAAAAATAAAGTGTAAACAAAACACGACATCTACAGTACACCGGACAGAACTAACAATAAAATTGGCTTCAGCTGTTCTTTAAGGATGAGAAATCTACTCAGGGAGTATGTTTTATCTATGATAATTCAGGAAAAAATATTTGATCACAAAACCCCTTAACACTTGCACTCGTATAGGTACTCAAAAAACACAAAAAAGTACTTTAAGTCTGCTATGGTAAAAGGTTGTGGATTCCCATAAAAAAAATGTAAACCTTACGGGGCGAGGGTTATTTAACAAGTGCATAACTAATAATTAACATTATTTAGTGATATTTATGGTTCTGCCGGTTTTCCTTGTTGAATTATAGAGTAACATTTTTGAATGCTGCCTACGTGTAAAAGGGCGCTGAAAATATTGAAGCAAAAATAACTGCTTGTTTACTTTCCCTAATTGAGGTGTTTAGCTCAATTTACGCTGAATGGACATTTAATACCTCAGTTATGGAAGTAGGAAGTTAGCGAGACAGTTTGAATATTTATGTTTCCAAAAACGTTACGTTTCAAATCTGATGTAATATTTTATTGAATCGTTGTATCACCTATTCAGGTATACATTGAAACTATATATTATTTTGTATCATATGACCAAGGAAAATGTGTCTTATAGGATTAAAAACAGACTAAATTCAACTTATATAATTTCAGTTTAGAAATCAAATAAACTGCAGGCTTACCCTTCTAGGATCTATTTCTAAAACTTTTCAAACAACATCCTAACGCACACGTACAAAAGCTACTATCGAAGGAGCCTGTTAAATATGCAGATTACAACTGAGCTTGGTGGTAACTCTAATCCCCCGCTAATGACCTTTATAAAGTATGGCAATTAATAAAGACTTGTGGCCAACAAGCGGTCCTTAACCACTCAATTTGGCTCACATGAGTTTACTTGCCTTGTAACTTGTTTTCATTTAAAGGCATTTACCTAAAACTTGGCTTTGCTAGAAACTATTTGTATGTATTACCATTGACGATTGGATACTGAAGTCAATGATTGGTTGTATTAATAGTCAAAGGTATTACTAGTAAGTAATAGCATTGGCTTCAAAGGTTATTTATAAGTCCAGGGTTTGGATCGTTCCCATAACAAACGTTGAAAATCTCAGCTCCGTAGGAACAAAAACACAAAGTTACAATGGCAATTTTAAGCTACCAAATCTTATGGATGCAGCAACACATCTATCTGGGCTAGTTACAATTCAACTGACGACAACAAACAACACATCCACGAAACTGTATATCTTGCACCGCTAAATGATCACTGCCTTCAGCGCATTCACCATTTCAATGACGCAGTCTTTATTAACATTCGACAGTATTTTTGACCGAGGAAGCCTACTTTCTAGTTCAGCAAAATGACAAAATGAACCTAGCTTTTTACCACTGCTTACCATTATCTCTACTGGACAATTGGGGTTTGTTCCTGAGACTTTCCTGTTTTCAAGTCCCGCATTAGAATACGAATCGCCAGCTGACAGCAAAGCTAGGGAATACTATCAAATAATTTTTGCAACTTCGTCAATGATTAAGGTTAATGATCATGTACGTTGTTCTTAGTACCTAATGTGCGTGCCGATTTTGCAAGTAATGTCTATCCATAGAGTTCAAGCATCTATCCGTACAGTTCATTCTTGCTAGAATTAACTGTACCATTCTATATTGGTACAGTAGTCGCTAAAAGAGCGAGTTTTCTAGTGGTTAAAGCGCGGGGATTCGTCTCCAAGTCCCGGGGTTCAAATCCCGAAAGTTACCAGTGGCTATAGCAATGTGATAGCACAACGACTCTCCAGTTTTTCAAAAAAGCTAAAAGCTAATGTCAAAAAATTCTAGCATCTAGCGTCCAAGGACGTGAAGGAAGGACATAAAACAATGCAGTACCGGTTCATCCGTTTTTTTAGATACCGGTTGATCCATGGCTCAGACAAACCAAGACCCATGGAAAGGCAAATGTAGACTGACACTCTTTTAGTTTCTCAGAAGCCATGACGTATGTTTTGCGTGTTGCAGATTCTCTCTGGTGAGATGAACGGGTCAGACAATGCCACGCTGCAGGGATACGACAACAGGCAGCGTGTTCTCTACGGGTTCCAGCTGTACTACACGCCGCTGCTCGTGTTCTACATGTATTGTACGTGTTGCAGATTCTCTCTGGTGAGATGAACGGGTCAGACAATGTCACGCTGCAGGGATACGACAACACGCAGCGTGTTCTCTACGGGTTCCAGCTGTACTACACGCCGCTGCTCGTGTTCTACATGTATTGTACGTGTTGCAGATTCTCTCTGGTGAGATGAACGGGTCAGACAATGCCACGCTGCAGGGATACGACAACACGCAGCGTGTTCTCTACGGGTTCCAGCTGTACTACACGCCGCTGCTCGTGTTCTACATGTATTGTACGTGTTGCAGATTCTCTCTGGTGAGATGAACGGGTCAGACAATGCCACGCTGCAGGGATACGACAACAGGCAGCGTGTTCTCTACGGGTTCCAGCTGTACTACACGCCGCTGCTCGTGTTCTACATGTATTGTACGTGTTGCAGATTCTCTCTGGTGAGATGAACGGGTCAGACAATGCCACGCTGCAGGGATACGACAACACGCAGCGTGTTCTCTACGGGTTCCAGCTGTACTACACGCCGCTGCTCGTGTTCCTGGGCACCGTCGGCAACGCTCTGTCCGTGTTCGTGTTCTTCGCCACCAAGCTGCGCAAGCTGTCATCGTCCTACTACCTGTCAGCGCTCGCCATTTCGGACACCGGTTTCCTCATCGCGTTGTTCATCTCCTGGCTCAACCTCATCGATGTCAACCTGTTCAACATGCCCGGCATCTGTCAGCTCACAGTGTACCTCACACAGGTAGGTGGGTAAATGTTTAGGGGATATGTTGGGTTTTTTTCTACATTAACCACAATTTTGTAAGAAAAAAGTAATATGTACGATTATAAATAAACAAATTTTACAAGGAATTGTTACATAAAAATGGTATACTGAACGAAGACTTGTTCTGGAGACTGTTGTGATTCCAAGCTATTTCTATCGTCATTTACCTCAACTTATCCCGAGTTCGTATGCTAAATAGCCAAATCACACATCCTCTTCCTATTACTCACTATTATATTAATTATTCCATAATATATAATAATATTAGCATCGTTGAGCATTTAATTTTCAAATCTTTAATAAAGTACAGTTTTTATTTATATCATTCAGTTTTAATTTTATTTAGTTTTTTTTCATACAATTAAAATTATGTGTTATAGGACAAGATGATAACGAACCACAAAATTAAAACAGATCAAATCGTTTGGGTAATGTTGATCCATTGTTGGTCTTTTATCTATTTAAATTTTTTTTAGTATTCACCCAAGTAAAAACAATATGAAAATTAACCACAAAATTAATACAGATCAAATTATTTGGGTGTAGGCATAAAGAGGTTTTGGAGGGTTTTGATATTACTTAGGGACAACAGTTATTCTTCTTCTTCCTTTTTTAAGATAATAATAATAAATAATCGCACTTTTATTACAAAACAGTTTACAGCTTTAAAAATACATTGCTACTCCTGGCATTAAATGAATTATCAAAAATATTTTTATCCTACACAGGAAATATACAGTTGAGTAAACATAATTACTGAGTTCCTATATACAGCACTACTTTTAGGAATATTGGTTGCTTAGTTACGATCTAAGTTTATTTTTCTCCATTACCTTCAAAACGCAATTTCAAGCTGAGAAAGCTCTTAATTGAAAACGACTCGATATCATTAAACTTCCTCTATATAAAGTTCACTTTGTTTCCTTTTCGCAAAAAGATGTGTCAACGTGATAACGAAGTTACGGTTAAAATATCGTAAACCACACAAACTAAATAGATTGTTTACCTGAACTTATAAAACGCTTTTGGGAAAGATCTAAGATAACCTAGTTTGCAAAGAGTATAAACTTTGTTCCTTAAAGGACCTACAACGGCAGATTTAATTTTAAACCTTTGGCAAATTTTCGTTTCTGATTGTTCGCATATTTTATTCGTAGTTCAAACAATTCTTTTTGGTTTTGTGGTGTTGAAATTAAATCTTTTTGGGGTTTCAAACTGTAGGACCTTAAGCCATTTTGTGCACATCTCTTCAAAACAAGCAAGTATGACCCGTCCTAATTTGATTACCAGACAGCGTGTTTTGTTTATTCAGTAGTATTACATTTTCCCTTGACCCCGGTAAACACTACGAGGTTTTAAAATCTATATAAATAAAATTAGAGTTTTGTCTGTACATTGCTTAGAATAATGAACTTTTTGGTTATTTTTACATTTCATAGGTCAGAGAAACCGAATCAAACCTTATCTCAATTTCTGTCTGTCTGTCTGTCTGTCTGTCTGTCTGTCTATCTGTCATTCTCTTGGTAACGCTAAAATACGCACTTTATTACAACTACTCCTCAATAACTATAGCACTGTCCCGCCTGAAACTTATTTTCCAAATACTATACATATATGAGATGGTTTTAGACGTATTTCATCGAATATGAGACAGTTAGATATTTAACAGTAAACCCTTGAAAATCAAGTTTTTGTCGATTTTTGACGTGGAATTTCTGGAAGCCCATGTTAACCTTATGAGAAATGAAATTATTGAATCTTAACAGCTGTTTCAATTAAACAAGTTGGTTCTGTTCTGTGATGTTCAATAGCATTAAAGTTACAAGGATTACCAACAGGGTGCAGCACTAGCACTATTATTTCTTTTACATTTATGACAACAGCTAATTTGCAACCTGGAGGCGAGTGAGCGTAGCGAACGAGCTAACCTGAAGGCAAGTGAGCGTAGCGAACGAGCTAACCTGAAGGAAAGTGAGCGCAGCGAACGAGCTCCAACATACAGGTGAGTGAGCGTAGCGAACGAACTTCAACCAGGACGTGATTGAGCCATGCAAACGAGATCAGATAGTAAAAATAAAAGTAAGCCTACCGTTATAGGATCGACCGGCAGACACAGAGGTAATTTAACCTTTTATTGATTGTCATACCGATCCGGAACAACAAAAAACAACATAAAATGAAGCTATGTATAATAGTTTGGCCAGCATATCTTAAAATATGCAAACCAACTGCTGTTCGTTATATAAGAAGGTTTCAACTGAATATTATAAGATCCCCGTGCGTAGAACGGGTACACAGCTAGTATGTTATAAAAAAACTACATTTTCTTCTATGCTGATCACAATACACCGTTATTATAGCTCAAAATGGATATTTAAAAAATATATATGTGAGAACACCTCTTAGGAAAAATTATTCACAAGAAAGTGTAGAGATAGAGGCATAGAAATGATAAAAAATGTCACTATTTATGTGTGTTTATTTTTTTAAAGACATGCCAATCCAAATTTTGAAAGGGGACGTAGAACTTAAGGTTTACGGAGACTACGGTGTTAATTTTGGTTAAATCGTCATCTTTAGCGTTTCTGCTGCAGTTAACACTTATTCCATAATTTCACCCTAAATTTAAATACTGTAAATACATTTTCATTCAACCATTACGCATCAAAAATGAAAACAGAGTCTGATTAAAACGATCTCTCTGTCCACTTTATCTTCCTGATTCACTTAATCTCCCTTCTAGGTAACATTATATTGCCTCTACTACCACGATAATTTGTTAGAAGATAAAAACGTAATTGAAGACTTTACCCTTTTTCAGGCATGAATCCTACTCCAAGGCAAGACCAAATTTTTAATGTAATACTTCATCAAATATAGACTTGTAGGCTAGTAAAGTATTCCCATAAAACTATCTTCTTATCACAATGGAAGATGATGGGCAGTCATAACAATTACGTAGTATTAAATAAATGCAAAGGTACTAAAACATGTTTTAGTTATACGCAACACCATTGTGATTGCAGCAGTTCTGCGACAGTCGTTTGAGCTTCGTGAAAAATGCAAATACGAGTCGTAAAAGAAGATGTTATAGGTGACTCAGGGACTTTAGGAGGTGCGCTCATTAAATTAAAACATAACTTTCATCCTTAATATCCTTAATAACCTGTCATCCGAAAGATATACGGCGACTCTCTAGAATACTAGAAAAATCCCACATAACTTTGAGAGTATGGCACACAAGTTTATATAATTTAAGGGTTTCTGTCACTAGTCATAAGTTTATTACACAAATAGCAGTTTTATCAAACAATATTTTTACTTCCAGGGACTTTTAAATACGTTACAAAGCACAACGTTATAGGTTATTGACATTCAAAATACGAAAGAAAAGCTTTTGACAGTCTTTGACGTTTTAAGGGTCTTTTAGGCTAGTCTTTATTTCATTGCTATTTGTAATATTCGTATGTTTAATAGTTCAGCAATGATGTAATATATAATTATATAGAGTTTGAAAAGTTGTAACATCCACAGAACACTTGTTTTTGCTAGTTTAAAACCGAAATTACACTAAATCCTAACATGACGGGTTCATGTAAGTTTTGTAGTGTAAAGAAATGCCCGACCAAAGATTGTACTGATATCAACTTTCACTTATCCACATCAGGCGTCGGGACCACAAACTTTGTTTACTCTTTGTCAAACTTTAACACTTTCGGTAATATATCCTTCTCTGAAAAAGTACACGTTGAAAACTTACAATTGGCAGTATTGGAACAATAAATATTTTAATGAGTTTCAAAGATGTATTTTTATGGGTTTGATCAATTACTTTCGTAGTGATCATTAGTACAAATTAAATCCTAAGAAACTTCTCGATATGAATTATTAAGAGCTTTGACTAAAAGAGATGTATGTCAAAGATCACATTTTTACACATATTTAGTTTATATTTTGTATTTTGTACTAATTAACAAATGAACTGCAGATGTAGGCTATATAAAATTGTTGGAAAAGGGTTTTAGTACTGCTTATCAATTAAAAGCAATACAAGTATTACAAATAATTCAATGGTGCATTGTTATTAGCTATTTGGCGACCTTTACATACAGACGATTCTAAAAGCACCGCTAAAAGCTAACAGCGCTGTCAATATCTGAGGCAGGTGCCAGCCACATAAGACCGTCAATGTCAAGTCCATCAATAATGTTAATGGACGGGGGGGGACGTATCATATGACTACGTCAATATACATTGTTGCACTGTCTATGATTGAAACAGATTACTTCAAGATTTCAGATTTTGCCTAGGCCTAGAGCACATTTTTAAGCAAGCTTACGATATAAAGCTTACTACGATTTGGAAAACTGTAGACACACTTATCGTTTACTAGCTGTACCCGCGGGCTTTGCCCCGTTTAACTTCTTAATTTTCAAGATGAGCTCGTTCGCATGGCTCAATCACGTCCTGGTTGAAGTTCGTTCGCTACGCTCACTCACCTTTAGGTTGGAGCTCGTTCGCTACGCTCACTCACCTTTTGGTTGCAAATTAGCTGTTGTCATAAATAAAAAAAAATAATAGTGCTGCACCCTGTTAGTAATCCTTGTAACTTTAAAGCTATTCAACATCATAGAACAGAACCAACTTGTTTAATTGAAACAGCTGATAAGATTCATTAATTCCTTTTAAATATGAAAAATCATAAGGTTAACATGGGAAACTCCAGAGCCACTGGGGCGGAGCCCGAGAGTCCGATCAGAATAAAAATAACTTAGTTTTCTTATTTAATGCCTAAAGAATCGGTGTAGCAAATTTCAGCCTCCTAGGTAAATGGGAAGTGGAAGAATTAGTGATGAGTGAGTGAGTGAGTGAGTGAGTGTGTCAGTGAGGGCTTTGCCTTTTATAAGTATAGATAATGGAAGTTTTTTTAATCTTACTGTTTACACCCTATATTAAACCGATTGTCTTGGCCAATAGTAAGGTGATATTTTATTGTAATGTATACATCAAGTTGCAACAACAGGTTTTATTCTTAAGATTGGAGCTGTATTTTTAAACATCTAAATTATATTTTTTTATAAATCTTCACGCAACTCAAGATATTTTTTATGCAACTGAAATTCCTCTAAGATGCTCTTGGTTCCACTGCTATCGGAACCAAAAGTAAGTGTACTAAATAAGCATCGATTTGTAAAAAAATTTAATTTTATTAACAACAATAAAAACTACCATACAAATAAACTATACTACAGTAACCCAACAACAATATGAGAAACAACTACAAATAATCTTGAATTCGTAAAGCTTACTAGTATTTTTCATGATGTAGACCTGACATTTTATTATTGAAAAAAGAGCAAATGACACACGACTCACGACCCATCGACGATTTATATCTCAGCATGACGATTTATACATCCTAAAAATCCAATAAAGTCAATCTACGAACTATAATAAAGGTAAAACAGTTGAATTCACACCAAGCTATTAACGTTTGACTCCTCGATAAACATTGGACATACACACTGCAGGTGACGCATCACTAATAGTCCCTTCTGGATATCCAAACACTAATTCTAAAGGCCCCGAGGATTCGACATTTAATCCAACCCCCCCCCCCTTCTTCCTAACACACCTTTTGAAATCTGATGACCTAAAACTACTGTTTATACTCCAATTCACATCATTACAGTGAACTAGTTGTGGTAAAATGCAGAATCACGCAGCCTTGCGAAACTAAGTATTTTTTTATCATACTAAACCAGTGACCAAAATCAGACTGAATGTTTAAATTTTTTTTCAGGTGTGCAGTTTCCTGAGCGTTTGGTTCGTTGTCGCGTTCACAGTGGAAAGGTTCATTGCTGTCAGGTAAGATTAAACAATGTTCAACATCTTTTTGAAAACATTTTACGAGTGCATTGTGCAACTAGTGTTCAAAAATGTTTCCAAATGCCATTTTGAATTTCTTGTACTTTGAGCAGCTGTTTGTGGTGAATACGCTTATGATTGTGTAGAAGAGGGTTGTTTACTGCACCAACATTGGACATTTCAAAATTTAACGAAAATAATCCTTCATGCTATCATAAAATTACGTCGCCCGTGATTCTGAATAGATTGAGGACTAGAAAAATATAACTGAAAGCAGTCATACACCCACAAACTATTACATAAACTAAACTTAAAAAACCACCTTCTGAACTACTGTTGGTTTAATCCATCCACTCTTAATTAAATTAAACTAAACAATATTAACTATAGATTTTGCAATAAGTATCTTGTAAAATTAAGCTTCCATGACCAATTATGAATGTTTAACTGTTTAACATAGCGTAAGTAAAGAACGATATTGTTGACGTCGGCACCGTCCCCATTGAGATAAGAATACTGTAGTAATATTTATTTAATAATCCCATGTGTTTTGTACGCAGATATCCACTCAAAAGGCCATCCATGTGTACAGTGACCAGAGCCAAGCTAGTGTTGTCGGCGCTCACACTGTTCACCCTCAGCATGTGCAGTCCCTACTTGTTCATCTCCGCCCCTCAATGGCGGCCCAACCCAGCTGACAGGTAAAAAAAAATAAAATAAAGAGATTTTTTATTTCATAGACAAACAGTTTAGTTGAGAAGTAAATTAACACTTAGATCCAAGTCCAGTAAGGACTGATGAATATTTATACTCCGTTTCGTGTAACCGAGCAGTTGATAACTGTGAATTTTAAATGGCAGTTTCAGCGAAATTGGTCGTCCTAAAAACGTCACAGAACCAAAACCTTGTATTTAACTTTTTTCGCCTTTTTTCGAACACCTATGCTAGAGTTCTTAATCATAAAGACAAAGTGAAAATCTATACAAGTATAAATATTATGGCGGACATAAATAATGTTCTCGCCTTCATGACGGTCTGAAATACATCGTAATCATAAAAAGAATGTTTTCAGTAATGATAATAACACGACCATCATAAGACTAAGTTTTGTAAATTGTGTTGCAAGTCTCGATGTTAGCGTCTTGGACATCTGAGGCGTACTAGCTTGATTCCCGGTATATCTATAATAAAAAAAAATACCCCCGCCGCAGCAAACCTGCAGACTTAGCGAATTTCCATTTGCCTGATTGGATTTAAACTAAAATGTCTCCTTAAAAATATCACATTTATTTATTTCCTACTAGCTGTTGTACCCGTGCTTTGCAACGGGAAGAGGACACAAAATGCAAAAAAGTTAATAGTACTGCACCCTGTTGGTAAACCTTATAACTTTTTAATGCTATTTAATATCATAGAACCAACTTGTGTAGTTGAAACAGCTGACAAAATTCTTTTATTCCTTTTAAATATGATTACTCATAAGGTTAACATGGGAAACTCCAGAGCCACTGGGGCGGAGCCCTAAAGGACTTTTCAGATAAGAATGCGTCTATATGTTAATCGGGAATGTGAACTATCATCACACCAAATTTCAGCCCGATCCGACCAGTATTTTTCGCGTTTACTTGTCACAAACATACATCCATACATCCAAACTTTCTCATTTATAATATTAGTAGGATTTAAACAGAATTAGTTTAATGAGTACTTAGGTTTGCTGCAACAGGGAGGGTAAAAAGTTTTTTTTTATATAAAATGTTAAAAGGTGCTGTGGTTTAGTAAGAAATTAATGTATTTTCCAAATTTGATCAAAATATGTTCATAAACAAAGCAAACTACAACAGTTGACTTATTCTCCATAAGAATAACATGGGAATTTTAAAATTACAATTTTTTTGAATTTTCTCCGTAACAATTAGGCGCATAATAACGCTTCAATATACTAAATTATTTGTTTTTTTAATCTCTACAAAATGGTTTAAAAAGAAATTATGAAATTTTGTGTTTTTAGGGTCAAAAATGGGAAAAACCCATTTTTACCCCATAAAACCCCCCATAAACCCCTGTTCCCATGGTCCGATTATGCTGGATTGCGAACTCGTTCGAATAAATGTAGGTTTACATGTTTGTACCAAATTTCATCAAAATCGGATCATTTTTGCTCGAGTTATCGCGCTAACGGACACATATATATATATATATATATATATAAATATATATATAAATATATATATAAATATATATATAAATATATATATAAATATATATATATATATATATGAATTTGAACTGATGGTGTTTTTGGCCTCTAGGGACCTCAAAACGAAAAAAAAAATCGGTCCCGCGTCCAGGTCTTACCATGAGTACTACGGTAATAGCTTATTCCCTATATGGGAAATTCGCTAAAATACGTTATATTAGTAATTTAGACATTTCCTATTAAAGGACGTTGTGTCAATGCTAAAGGAGCAAACAATATAAGTAATGCACGGTAAACGCTGAATAGAGTATTACGTTAAAAACTCATATTAATAGAACTGAAACTTCAATAATGCCTAAATGCATGACTATAGTTAATGACTAGTTTCTGCATGATTAGTGACCACTACAGCCTTTGCATGATTAATATAGCTATTGCCAGCAGTTTCAAGTGACAACCACGGTACATGTTTCGGCTGTATTCCAATTTCCACTATCTTTTAGTCCAGGAAATTTATTTAAACCGCGGCAGTTGCTTCGCGGAAAATTTCAATACACAGCACATGCATTTGACAAACATACGCAACAGATATGACATTTTATGCTGTCAGTTTGTTACACCTTTTAAGGGAAATCGACTTTGCCAGGTATAGAACATTTACATAAGGACATTGTTGGAAAATCCATCAGCAGAACTTTTAACCCTTCCATGTGTGTTTGTTTACGTGTTCAATAATATTAGTAGAACTACTATTTTGTTAATAAGTAACAAGTATAAAACAAGCTTGCATAGAGACTGTAAAACTCATCTACCTAACACGTTAGCTTCCCCGGGTGGACTTTCATATCTGTTGTAGAAAAAAACCGAATAAAAATATCGATCGATAAATCGATCATTCGATATATCAATTATTTCATCCAATATATCGTTTTAAATAAACAAATAAAAAATATAGATCGATATTTTAATTCGGTTGTTTTTGACAACATACATGAAAGTCCACCCGCTTTCCCTGAGCCGTTTAATGCTGTAAAATCATAGCTAAAACTGAAAATTCACTTCACTTCCGCAGTCCTGACAAAAACAAATGTATAAATTCATCAAAGATTACGATCAGTTCAAGTTGAACAAAACTAAAGCCAGCAGAGTTCTGGCCCACTTGCCGCACTTATCTTGGCTATCTACCAGTAAACTCACAACTCATCTAAATCACCAAATAAGCTGTGGTATCCGTCATTTGGTAACCATCATCTTTCAATTTCAAAATCCGGTTATTTGAAAAGAGAGAAGTTCATTGGTACTGATAGAAATCAAATTAATTTAAGTTTGTTTTTAGAAAATCGTCAAAGTTATCAAAATTTTGGGCCATGTACATAAGACTTTTATAATATATGAAATATTTTTAATAGGCCTAACATGCGTTATTATAATTCCGAAATTAAAAAATAAAGAGCTCAACAATTCATAAAATAAAACAACCCTTAATAGTTGGCCCATTGAAAACGCCAATAAAACATATAACTGTTAAACAACTTAATAAAGTGACCATAAAGCATATTTTCACAGTTTATGGATAGTAAAATTACAAGAAATTACAAGACGTAGCAGGGAAAACAACTAAATATAACAAATTTGACATTTTATGCAGTCACAAGAAGTTAAGTTGTGTCACACGATCGTGTTAGAAGTGAATGTCTAACAGTCATTTTAAATAACTCACAGAAGTATTAATTATTTCAGTATATTATTGTACTTTTCGGCAGATGAAACACAATGAATGAAACAAAATTCAAAGAAATTGAATATGAATATCGCTATAATAGAGGAAAAGAAGAGGTACTCACTTTGGAAGATAATACTAACTCTAAAAGAATAGAATTTCTAAACATCGATAGTGGCCTAAGCTATATTTTAATAATTCAAAAATTGTTTTTTAAACACAATAACCTCTTAGTAATTAATAGTTTCTATCGACGAAAACACCCAGTGACATCTGGCAAAGATGGAAAACAATCATCTAAGTAACATTTCCTGGAGACAGCGTTTGGCGTAGATAGTAGAGTAGGTACACATTTTGAGGCGAATGGATATCAAATTAATTTTAGATATATTATGTGTGTTTAATGAAAATATGCCATAACATTCTTAATGCGTGCTACTAACGATGCTATTGAATGAAATTATTTAAAACTGAGTGTCCATAGGATTTAAAAGGACTTGTTCAAATTACATCACAATACTAAACATTGTTTAATTTGTTTATGTTAGTGGAAAGAAATGCTGAATAAGTACAAAAATCTTAGAAAAATACAAGTTTAACCACGAATAAAATAAGAAAGTTTAATACAAAGCTGGCAATATTATAATTCATAGTTTAAATATTTTTTATTAACTTTATAAAGAGCTTAATTTGTATAAAAAACATGCACATAAGTTTAAAAATACCATAACGAAGTTTTGTCCTTAAAACTCAATGTTAACCAGTGTTAGCGGATCGCGCCGTGGTATTCTGTCAACGCAATACCCGCAATACACGCGTGGCTCTGTATTGCTAGACAGCGCCGTTGTATTTACCGTTTAGTTTATATACTACACTTGGCAACTATAGGCTAACAATTGAATATCCTCCCTAAGAATAGGCGCTTAATGTACGAATCACCTCATCAAAATACGAAATCAAAATCAACCTACTGCAGCTTGGGGGACTTAAACAGTTTTACTTCAAAATAAAATAAGTTTAACTGCAATTTCAGAAGTAAAAAATAATGTATATTTATACTATAGTACCAGAGGGGACTGAGCATTGTCTTACAAGATGCCTAACTTATCTTTAGACAGGCCTATGATTTTTTGGCAACAGTTTTTACACTTTTAAAGAAAGATATATATTTGAGATCTTCAACAATTTCCGAAAAATCATCAGTTAGATATTTACAAAATAAAACATGAATACAAACTTCAAGCATATAAAGTTACTGGTGGTATCTATTCAATTTATCAATTCGTGCATTTACATCTTGTAATTTAATTAGTCCATAAACCTTGAACAAAGAAGCAGAAACTGCACTTACAGAAGACTGTATATTAAACAAATTAATAAACCTAAAAGAAAATAAATTGTGTCTTAAATTTACTTGAAAAATAAAACTTTAATTAACAAGTATTTTACTTCATTTTTAATTCAATCGATTGAAGTTTTTCAGAACAAGTCTATAAAAATATTCTTCATAAGTTTGCAGTAGGGCCTAAAGCTGTTTAAAGTAGGGTCGTTTAAAAGCATCCAATTATTTTCTAAAACCCATTAATGGCCTTTGAGGAGTTTACGGCGCAAAACACTCTCTTAATTTATAGTTTCAAACTAACCATTTACCTGTAAAATATTAAAAGACATTTGTGGGAACTGTTCGTTTCGTGCGGTTCAGTAACAGTAAAATTACTGAAACATCAAAGAGAGTAACTCCTAAAATTCAGAACAGTTTATTTTTTATTTTGTGAGTATTT